CACAATCGATCATTTAAAAAATACTGATCATTAATTAGCAATAAGACAGATCAAAATCGCTATATCACATTCAATAATTTAAAGTAATTTTAATTTTTAAAATACTAAATAAGGTAAAATGAGTACTGATCAACAAACCTGATTATATGAAAGCGGTAGAGAACTGGAATAGTTTACAGAGGAGAGATCCGTGGGACTTATTGTAGAGCGACCCGTATCAGTTGATGGCATCGAATACTGAAACGACGGAAATGCCATAGTGTCTTAAACTATCAACGAATAACACGATGTTCGATGTGATTTTAAAATGATCAAGATATCAATATGAGTGATAGGCGCGATCAAGTGATCAGTAATAATGATTATAGGTGGAAAGGGTGTACCTTCGTATTATCAGCATTTGATGCAGTATTGTTATTGTCATTATTCATGCTATTATTGCTACTGCTTGCGTTTATCACGAGTGTTTCCACCAAATTATCCAGATAATTTCCTAGATGAGTTGTATTCGTTGTCAGCGTAGCAGNGCTAGTATGGCTAGTATGGCTAGGAATGAAATCAGTGGCAAATGATGAGCCTTCAACACGGGAAATCGAAAATATGCATGATCGCTATATGAAAGCTGAATTTGAGTTAAATTCAGAAATCAATAGTCGATGAACAGATCAGAAATCAACAATCGATCAGAAACATTTCGGTGCACAGTTCAGGCAAAATCAGACTGCAGAAGATCAACCAATTTCCAGTCTAAGCGCGGATATTGGCAAATTTAGCATATCTTTTGAAGTGGATTACTTTCACATATCTCCTATGATTTAGCTCACAGCTTCTGATTTGTTTCATTGAAGTGCGCAATTTGGATCAAGCACAATACCTTATTGATGATCGCAGTAATTTCTAGTTCAGCTGCTCGAATCGCCGCATCACTCAACAGAGCCACAAGTTTCGGCTCAGTGGGCTCTGAGAGCACGTCAGCATTCCCGATGGGATGTTCACTAATTGCATGACGTCCAACGACCACGTCGAGT